GAAGTTAGGATTCTATTAGGCACTAAGGAAAGGAGCCCCATGAAAGTCAGGAAATTCTCAAAAATGGAATCTGCTGAGTCCCAATCCTCTGCTACCGTGTTGGGTCTCTGCCCCACTGTAGCAGGCTCACTAACTCCCATCAAAGAAAAAAGATGCTTCAGGATGTTACAGAAGAAGACCCGAGTAGGATTTCTTAGGCAAAGACAGAGCATAAGTGTTTCCTATAGAGTGAAAGCAGGAAGCAGCCTTTACAGTAAAGTGAAAGCAAACAACCCCCAAACAAATAATCCCGGGAAAGGGCCCAAAAAGGACTGCCTAAAGGGACTCCCAGCTTGGGGCTTTTATACTCAAACATGAGTGTATTGCTAAAGTTATCCGCACAAATGTCAAAGATGTTCTTTAGAGGGGTATGAATATCTTGTTCCTGCACAAGAAAATTCTGCCAATATAATGAGGCCTTTGTTGAGGTTGCAGGGCCTGGCCTTGAACATCGATGTGTCCTTCACAGACCCTTTCTGACTCCCTCCTTGGCTTAGCTGTCTCCTGGCCGCCTGTAACTCCTTTGGCCAGGACCCTGCTCACAGCCTCCACACACACACAACTGCCAGGCTTCTGCAACTCACTTTCTTGGGATGATTTACGGCTTGGGTAACCTCAACTGTGGCTGTGTCCTGGAAGTTGCAGTCCTCTTACCAATTACGGTTGTTAGGGTTTCCTTGACCCCTTTGCTACCTGTTCTTTCCTCTCTCCCACCTCACCCTCTGGGAATCTTACAAAAACATCTGCCAGGTGGACTTTGGCTTTCTGGGACCTCCCCAGAGCTCAGTCAGGCAGGCCACTGGCTCAAGGGCGCGTGGGCCTTGCGTGGGCACTGTGTGAATACTACATTGGTTGGATCCTAAGAAGTATGTAACCTCCTAGAGGATGGAGATGACACGGCTTACACATCAGTCTAAGCGCCCTTCTAAACCTCTGAAAAACTCCCGGACCAGTGGCGGTGAACCTGGGAGAGCTTTCAGTGACGCAAACAGCCCACCGCAGCCTGTGCCACAGTTCGCCCCTGCTGTTCTGCACAGGGAGCCTCCTGGGCGTCTCACTCAGAACCTCCTCCCGGACAGTGGGAGATTTATTCCCTTGCCTTTGCATCTTTAGCTTTTTAGTTTTTATGTCTTTTAAAATCAGTTTGCTTGCATTCTATCTCCTTCACCCATGGATTCATTCTTCTTCACAGTGATGCATACCCTTGGAACTCTGAAAACACTCTCGCCTTTCCTTCCTTTTTCTCTCTTTCTTTCAGTTTTTTTTTCTTTTTTTGGTCTTTTTGAGACAGGGTCTCGCTGTGCAGTTCAGGCTGGCCTTGAGTTCACTTTAAATCCCAGGCTGGTCTCAAACTCATGACGATCCTCCTGCCTCAGCCTCCTGAGTGCTGGGATTACAGGTGTGCACCATATCTGGCTCGCTCGTTCTTTCTTTCTTTCTTTCTCTTTCTTTTTCTTCCTTCCTTCTTTCCTTCCTTTCTTTCCTTCCTTCCTTCCTTCCTTCCTCTCTCCCCTCCCTTCCTTCTTTCTTTCTTCCTTGCTTGCTTACTTTTTCCGTTGCCGGGGAATGAACCCAGGGCCTTTCACATGCCAGGTTTTATTTTATTTATTTAATTAATTTGGTTTTTTTTGAGACAGGGTCTCACTATGGAGCCCAGGCTGACCCTGAACTCATGGCAATCCTCCTGCCTCAGCCTTCCAAGTTCGGGGATCACAGGTGTGTACCACTGCACCCAGGGCAAGGCTTTGTTTTCTTTTTTTTTGTCCCCACCCCCCCAGGAATCGAACTCACGACCTTGCGCTTGCCAGGTAGGCACTGTGCTGCTGAGCTAAATCTCTAGCCCCCCAGGCTTTATTTTCAATTCCAGAATTGGGCAAGACTTCATTCCACTGATTAGACTGTTTTACAATGAGGTTGGTTTTATAGATAGAAGAGAGATGATGAAAACAGAAACAAAAAGAATATCAGTCATTTCAAAGTTACTTTTCTTACAAGGCAAGAACAAGGAGACAGAACAATAAAAATTAATGATTGGAACCAGGCATGTCACACACACCTATAATCCCAGCTTTAGATAGGCTGAGGCAGGAGGGTCACTGAAAATTCAAGATCAGCCTGGACCACATAGTGAGAGCCTGGCTTGATCCCCCCATCAGGTGTGATAGTTAATCATGGGATCAATTTGAATATAAAACACCTAGCAGAGGGGCTGGGGATTTAGCTCAGAGGAAAAGTGCCTGCCTGGCAAGCGCAAGGTCATGAGTTTGATTCCTGGTACCGGAAGAAAAACAAACAAAAAAAAACCACTTAGCAGAGAAGTGGGGTACAGTTCTGGGTGTGGCTCGATGACTGATTTAATGAAGAGGGACCAACCCACCTTAGATGTGGCTGACACCAATCAGTAGGCTTGTAGCCTGGATGGAATAACAAAGGGAGAGAAGGCAATCTTCCCCTTTTTGCTTTTTTGGGCAGGCTGGTATTTGCCATCGCTTTGGATGTTTAGCTCCAGTTCCTTCAGGCTTCTAGCGCAGGCTTACCAAGCCTTCCAGTGCAGACACTTTGGCTTCCCCACGGTGACCTGCACTGAACTCTGCAGTGAGCTCCAGGCCTTCAACTTGACTGGGTGGCCTGGCTGTGCAGCACATAAACGGCCCTTTTGCATTTTTTCACCCTTGACTCTCCAAGTAGCCATTGTAAGCCTATCTTGTAAATACTTTATATATCATACACACTTTTTTTTTTTTGCTTTTTGAGACAAGGTCTTGCTGTGCAGTTCTGGCTGGCCTTGAGGTCACTTTGTAGCCCAGGCTGGTCTCGACCTTACAGTGATCCTCCTGCCTCAGCCTCCTGAGTGCTGGGATCACAGGGATGTGCCACCACACCTGGCCATACACATTTTTTATATTAAACCTATTTCTCTAGTGAGCCTTAACTGGTACATCAGGTAAATAGCTTTGTTTCAGTTCAAGTTGAACTTTAGCCTGAGTTCATTTTCATTTTTAGCTGGGTCTGTTGCGGCCTGCTACAGGAACTAAAACAATAGCCGTCAGTAATTTTTACTTAACATTGCTGTCAGCCAAGGTTATAGCATAACTTCAGACATCGGTGCCACAGAAATCAGGGATAACGTTTTTTAAAAATTTTTTCTCCTGAGATAGGGTTTCACTATGTAGTTCTGGCTGGTCTTGGACTCATGTGGCTGAGGGTGGCCTCAAACTTGCAGTGATCCTCCTGCTTCATCCTCCCGACTGCTGGGATTACAGATGTGCCACCATGCCCAGCCAATAACGCTGTTTTAATCAGTCAGTAGCTTCCAGGGAAGGCTTATGTTCTCATGTAATTGTAGATAAGAACTAAATGAGGTGAACCTGACACAATTTGTATAAAGAACAAAATGGCTGTTTTTGTCTTCTGACTGAGGTGTGACACACACTCCTTTCCACAGGGTATCAGCTTTGCTTCCACAGAGGTTAAAAAACATGGCACATTTAAAAAGTCGCAAATTAACAAGGTAGCATGTTTGAAATACACTGCAATGTAACTGTGCTATTCACAGGTTAATTGTGGAAGTCACAGAAGACCTCCATTCCTGGCACACTCAGGCACCAGTGTCTGGTAATGGCGCTCCAATTGAAAGTTGGAGCCAATGTAGGGAGCTGCTAAAGCTGGAAACTGGTCACACGGGTGCGGGCAAGGCAAAGCCGGCGGGAGGTCGGGGAGCTCCTGGAGCCACTTCAACAAGCTGTTCCAGCTCACAAACAAGTTGCTAGGCAGAGAGGCTGAAACTGACATCCTCCTCCTGAGACTGCAAATATACTGGCTGCAGTGGGTGTGCAGTTCCTTTTCCTCCCATCTGGAGAGAGGGCTCCATCTGACCTCAGCTTTTCTCTCTCTCTCTGTTTTTTTTTTTTTTTTTTTTTTTTTTTTTTTTTTTTTTTTTTTTTTTTTTTTTTTTTTTTGTCTTTTTGAGACAGGGTCTCGCTAACCAGTTCAGGCTGGCTTGAGCTCACTTTGTAGCCCAGGCTGGTCTTGAACGCGCAATGGTCCTCCTGCCTCAGCCTTCCCAGTGCTGGAATTACAGGCGTGTGCCATCAAGCCCTGCCTTTGTCTCTTATCTTTATTTCTCAGTCCTCTCGCCCCCTGCCCTGCAGTCCCCAACATCGAGAGCTGCGGGGGACACAGTAAGCCGAGCCTCTCTCAGCCCTGACAAGACAACGGGCAAACTTCAGATACTAAAAGCCAAATGTGAGAGACCCACTCCCTCCACTGTCTCTCACCTCCTGAGACCAGCTAAATTACCGCAATTTTTGACCTGGTAAAGATGTGGGTAGGAAAGAAAAAAAAAAAAAAAAGATGTGGATAGATTTCCCCCCCACCCATACTCTAAATTTTTCACTTCCTCAATTTTGTTTCTTTGTCCTATTTGTAAATACTTCTGGGAAAAAAAGTCTTTTGGGATCTGAACTGGTTCCTCTCCGAGCCTCACTTTCTTTAGTGTATATAGGTAGCAGGCGGCGAGTGTCTCCCCTTTTTTCTTCAGCTGCTAATACGGTCCTGCCTAATCCAGCTATTTTTGGAAGACAGTTTCTGCTCACTTCACCGCTTACTAAGTGACTTCTCATTTCTACCAGCCTCACTTTACATCTGTGAAATGGAAACACACATACGTACACACCCAGAATGACCAGCTTTGGTGCTTGGCAGCCCTTTTTGAGTCTTGCGCTTGGACTTGAGGGGTCTTTACTGTGCCAACTCTATCTTTAGCCTGTGTCAGACTCAGGCAAAGAACAGGTGCTTCCGAAGCAGTGGTAAAGGGGGGCTTTTCCTTTGGGAAAAGATGGATTTCTCTCTTCGAGCTAAGTGGCTCCCGCGAAGAAGAGCCACTTAGGGCCTCCGGGACTGTGGACTACAATTCCCAGCACGCCCCGGGCCAAATCTCGCGCTAAAGTGCCGCGATCTCAGGAGACTAACACCAAGGGCGCCGCCTGGCTTGGCAGCTAGTGTTCCCCGGAACGTGGTGGGGACTGCTAGTGTTGCCGCCGCTGTGTCACGATGGCTTGGGTCTGGACTGTGTCCCAACCTCTCGGGAGACGTGGGTCGTCGGAGCCTCTTTAGTGGCGGAGTTTGGGCCGCAGGCATCTTGGCGGCTGCGGGAGAACAGGTGACCAGGTGGCGGGCCTGGGGCTCCTTGGGGCTAAGCTTTCTGTCCAGCTGCTGGGGCGCTTCCGGCGCCTCCATCTAGACCCGGGCTCGGGGGCCCTCCGTGCGTTTCCTTCTGCTTCACACCTGCTCAGAGCTCTGCGGGGCCGCCCTTGTCTCTCCGGCCGGGTGACTGTAGGGCTTCTCTGAGGAGCCGTGGGAGCCGCGGCGCTGGGCTTCTGGCTTTCTCCGACTGGCGCATCCCGGCGCCCCCGGCCCCCGCAGTGGTACTCCTCCTCGAAGGCCCCCGCCCCGGCTGCCCCCGGGGAGCCTCGGCCTGGCCCGGCTCCGATCGCTTTAGTATTATCCTCCAGGGGTGGGACGGAAGGTTGGGTCAGACCGCGCTTTCAGATCAAGGTGGCTTTGTGTGAAGAAGGGAAGGGAGAATTTCTGGGCGGGGAATGCTCCCCCGACTGAGAGGATGGCTGAATTTTGTTTTTTTTTTGCGACGCTCTTTAGTGAAGAGCTAACTGGTTCATTCTCAGAACTCTCTCAGATTAGAAGGGTACAGTACTAAATTAAAAAGCAAGTACCTTTCTCAGGGCTTTATTTTAACTCTCCTTTAACATGGGGAAACTGCCTGCTTTGCAGGGAGGCCAGGTAGCTCTGAGCTTGAACAGAAATTTGGTATAAATAAGGCCTGCTTTGCGGTGTGGCTGCGAGGGTTAAAAGACTGGAAAGGGCTGTACCAATGCTGATTGTTTGTTGTTATCAGAACCTCTGGATGGATTCTTCCGGGAAAGCTTTGCTCATTTGCAGCAGCTGGACAATGTTCCTCATTAACATCTGTCTGTCAGCATAGTTGTGACATCATTTCACTGTGGTAAGGTGACTTTTTTTCACCTAGTGTTTCAGCCACGGGTGTGGTGAGGCCTTTGACCCCCTCCCCCCCATGTTCCTTGCTCGTTGGCTTTTGTGTGTGTGTTTCAGCTGTGTTGAAAAGCCATAAATCTGTGTATCTGTTAAAAGAACAGTATTGGAGCGATCCTTTGGTTTCACGGAGAGAAAATGCCTTTTGTTATTTTTGTCAGGTGACAGGGACTCATCTCCGAATTCTTTGTAGAAAAAGCACCTTGGATCCCAGGTTTTCAATGGCTTCAAGACAACCAGAAGTGCCTGGTAAACTTATTCTTTTTGGTTAAATCATGTTTTGCCTTTAATGTTTTAAACTAAACAGACATAATTCTACCTGCACCATATATTAATGGTTTTCTGCCACTGAGTATTTACACCTAATAGATTGGTATTGTTTGATTATTATCATTACTATTTATTATTATTATTATTATTTTTTGAGACAGGGTTTTGCTATGTAGCTCCGGCTGGCCTTGAACTCACTATGTGGCCCAGGCTGTTCTCAGTAGTGATTCTTCTGCTTCAGCCTCTCAACTGCTGAGATTATAGGCTTGTGCTACCACCCCTGGCCACTTGAATGGGCAGTTTAATGATACCTTGTTTTAAAATAAAAAGGATAAGATTGTAGTCAGTGATATAGTGCCTCTGGAATTGATCCCAGTATGGGGAAAAGGAAAAGGAATTTCACTTAAGGGTATGACACATGTGTTACTCTGTATTAAATAAGAATTCAGAACGAATTTTGAAATTGCTCCTTGGGGGCTGCGGATTTAGCTCAGCAGCACAGAGCCTGCCTGGCAAGTGCAAGGTCGTCAGTTCGATTCCTGGTACCGGAGAAAAACCAAAACCAAAACCAAAAAAAAAAAGAAAAAAAAAGAAATTGCTCCTAAATTAGGTGGATTAGTAGAAGTGTCCTGTGTCACCAGTATGGATCTGTCTCTAGTCTCTAACATCATCACTTGTGTGTTAGTCTTTTTGTGTGTGTGTATTTGTTTACTTTTTTGAGACAGGGTCTCACTGTGTAGCCCAGCCTAGCTTTGAACTTTTGGCAATCTTGCCTCAGCCTCTCAAATGCTAGGATTACGGGTGTGTGCCACCCTACCTGGCTAGTCTGTCTTTCATTATTGCTGCAGTTACTGTAGACTGCCTGTGATCATACTGAGCGATACTGTTGCACTTAGAGGTTAATGTTTTGTAGTGTGGAGTGTAAGCCTTGGTTTAGGTCTTGCCTACACTTGCTTGTTGATAATACTGGGCAAGTCTCTTAAAATCTATGCCTCAGTTTCCTGAGCTGGAAAATGGGGAGAATATTTACATAGTGAAGATTAGATAAGATGGATATGTGCCTAGTACGATAATTTATTTTCTTGTGTTTTTAAGTTATAATGCACATTCCATAAAATTTACACATTTATTTACTTATTTATTTATTTTTAGTCTTTTTTTGAGACAGGGTCTCCCTATGCAGTTCTGGCTGGCCTTGAGCTTACTTTGTAGCCCAGGCTGGTCTCAAACTCATGACGATCCTCCTGCCTCAGCCTCCCGAGTACTGGGATTACAGGCGTGTACTACTACGTCCAGCTAAAATTTACCCATTTAAAGTGAACATTTGGTCAGGCATGGTGGTGCACACCTTTAATCTCAGCACTTTGAGAGGCCGAGGTAGGAGGATCACACGTTCTAGCCTACCCTAGACAACTTAGCAAGCCCCTGTCTCAGGATAAAAACAAAGGCTGAGGATTTAGCTCAGTGTGAGGGTGCTGGGTTTAATCTCTGTTTACACAAAAGAAAACACAAACAGTTGAAAGGTTTTTTAGTATACTTACAAGGTTGTGCAACCATCAACACTGTTATAATTGCAGAACATTTTTACCGCCCCGGAAAGAAAACCTTGTACCCATGTGTCGTAGTCACACCTCATTACCCCTTCTCGAAGCCCCTGGTGACTAGTAATCCTATTAATAATTATTATTATTAACATTAGGAGTCATCAGATGGTATCTGCTCGAACTCTTGCTGTGCCTTGGTGGTTTTGGACTCAGTGCCAGGCAGGCTGCCGTCTCAGGAAGTGTGATTATATAATTTTAGCCACAAAAAAAATGTCACCTTGAAGGCAGCTCCTGGCCATCAGTCCTGCTATGGAAGGGTTAGCAAGTCAAACAGGATGAACCTTGCCCCTTGTCTGGCACAGCTGCAAGTGCCCTTGAAGTGGGGCGCCTGCGTCACGGCAGGACACTGGCAGTCAGTTCCAGTGTACGGGAAAGGCAAGGTCAGCTGGCGTTGCTTTGTAAGCGTTGTTGATGTTTCTGTGGTGGAAATCGCTGCTGCTGAAATCATACAGAACACTAAGGAGAATGCCAGACAACATACCGCTTAAGTGGTTTCTCTTAGTGCTGTTTTCTTATAGTCAGGCCTTGGTCAAGGCTCAGCTAGCCATTTTCTGTATGAGTCTGAGAGAATCATTTCCCCTTTAGGGTTTAGTTTCCTTATCTGTAAATTGAGAACAAAAACTTCATATTGCTGGGTGAGCTGGCCCAAGCCTATAATCTTAGTACTCTGAAGGCTGAGGCAGGAGAATCGCTGAGTTTAAGGCCAGTCTCAGCTACCTAGTGAGTTCAAAGCCAGCCTGAACTACATAGTGAGACTTTGTCTCAAAAACAAAAAACAAACAACCCCCGCACAAAAAAAACCTTTCATATTCTCTGTCATTTTGTGCCCTCAGTCTTAAGTAGTTGAAGGGCCGGGGATTTAGCTCAGTGGTGCAGTACATGCCTGGCAAGCATGAGGTCCTGAGTACCCCAAAAAATGTTTCAGTCCTAAGTAGTCGAGAGCCTTAGCATTGCAGGGAGGGTGGCCTGTGTGGCAGAAAGGACATAAACTGTGGAAGCAGTTAAGTTGGAGTTAGGATTCCATTCTGCTTTGAAGTTGTATGACCTTGCTCAGATAAATTTAAATTGAGCTTCAAGTTCTTTAATCTGTAAGAATGGATTAGGACTCTGACTGGGTTAAATAGAGGATTCCTAGTATCAGTAATAGAGGAAGAAATTAGCACGTTGTTTCCTCGAATGATGAACTGTGGAATCGCTTGTTTCAGAGCTTTCCTTTCTACAGATTGATTTAAAGCTGCATGTATGTCCGGCTGCTAACCCCACTTTGACAGCTGTCTCTGTTCTTAGCTCTTGGGCCCAGTGGGCCTCTAGGCAAGATGTCCCTGCCCATCGGGATGTGCCGCCGGGCATTCAGCTACGATGATGCCCTGCAGGACCCTGCGCCCATGACTCCTCCTCCCTCGGACATGGGCAGCATCCCCTGGAAGCCTGTGATTCCAGAGCGCAAGTATCAGCACCTTGCTAAGGTACCTGACTCCGCCACTGCTTGCGGCACGCACAGCCCCTCTGCTCTCCCTGTCTGCCCCAGAAGCCTTCAGTGGCTCCCTGTGCGGATGGAATTGGGCAGCATCTGCTCTCTGCGTGTTTCTCTGTGCATCAGTTACAACTGGTGTTTTTCTCATTTGTTTTTTTGCCTAATGCAAAACTGGAATGGTTGTGTCTTCTGCCCCAGACTTTTCTCTACCCTTCTTCCTCCGTTCAAAGTCCAAGCTCTGGAACACGATCCAAGTTCTGCACGTCCAGGTCCTGTTTGCCTCTCCCCTGCTTCCCTACCCAGCGATCGAGCTGTGCAGGTTACCTAGCATTTCACACACTTAATAGGGTATTTTATGCTTCTGAGTCTTTGCCTCACACTTTACATAAATGTTTACCATTCCTATCCCGTTCTCTCTCCCTCTTCTCTGCTCCATTTGCCTAAAAAATAGTATCCTTTTTTTTTTGCTTAAACATCTCTTCTGTAAGATTTTTCGACGTGTCTATTCTCCCAGTAAGTCTGTCTCCTCTCCCTTCGATTTCTGCACTGTGCCCTGGTGCCCACCACAGTCCCTCCATTATTTATCACCCTCCTTTGGCTTTATGAGGTGGCAGCAGGTCCAAGATTTGTACAGCTTGAGTATCCCTTATCCAAAATCCTTGGGAGCAACCGTGTTTTAGGTTTTTTGCATATATCAGTGAGATATCCTGCGGATGGGACTCAAGTCTAAACATGCAGTTCATTTGTGTTTCACACATATCTATGCATCCCGAAGTGGCTCTATACAATCTAAATAGTGTTGTGCATGGAATAAAGGCTCATGGTGTGGAACTGTCCTCTTGTGGCATCATGTTAGTGCTCAGAGTTCCATATTTTGGAGCATTTGGGAATTTGGGAATCTTACTCTGTATTTTCTGCAGTATTTAGGGACAACATTCAGGAACACTTAGATTTTTAAAATAAAAGAGACTTTAAAAAGTTTAAAAGTAGATTTTTTAAAAGGTATATTTTAGCCAGGCCTGGTGGCACACTCCTGTAAAAGTATATTTTAGCCAGGCCAGGTGGCTGAGGCAGGAAGATCATTGTAAGTTTGAGGCCAGCCTGGGCTACAGAGTGAGCTCAAGGCCAGGCTTAACTGCATAGTGAGACCCTGTCGCCCGCAAAAAAAGTCTATTTTGTGACAGGGACTGAACTGGCTCTGTCTTGCACAGGTCATGCTCTCTTCTGGGCTGTTCTCTGCCTTGGGCCCCTCTGTCATTGCTGTCCTCCGGGATCCTGGGCTGCTCCCAGCACCACTGATCTGCTTGCCCTTGTGTGCTTTGTCTTGTAGCTCGCACATGGTTGTTGCAGTTTCGCTGCTGAGGCCTGTGCTTCTTACATCCTATTCTCCAACCACCAAGCATCCAAGAAAGGTTCTACTCTTCCCTGAAGAAACTAGGCCTGTCACAGTCTCAGGGAAGCCCATTTGACCTACAGCTGCGGTGTCACCAAACTTTGAGCTGTGTGATAGCTTGGGGCCTGACAGGAAGTGGATAGTAGGTCTGCTTAAATGCACCTTGTGCACTACTGTGACCTTGGGCCTACAGCTTCACCCATGCACCACAGATCTTATTCCATCAGAAATAATATTTTCTGATAGAGGTGGTGTGGGGTTTAAAGAAAAGAGGATTTAACATGTTCCCGCTGGCTTAAACCAGCAGGGGTACACGCATGACTGTCCCATCAGGTGGCTTGTCTGTACAAATGGATCTCATCACTTTTATTGGTCTTTTACTAATAAAATTAATAGAAAGCTGCCCAATGGGACAGTCCTGCATGTACTCAGGTGGTTTGAGCCACCTGGCAGTGAGACATACAAATTACTGTTAAAGGCTTGGCACGAAATAAGTGTGTAGCTACTGGCTGTCAGCTAATGTTCACTTAGTACAGCCAAGTTTAGTCCTTCTTTTAATGAGTCATTTTTGTCCTTCTCCCATTATGTTTTCAGAACACAGACCTCCTTTCTTTTTTTTTTTTTGGTGCTGGGAATCAAACTCATGACCTCAGGCTTGCCAAGCAAGCGCTTATGCTGCTGAGCTACATCCCCGGCCCTCCTTTCCTTTCTAAGAAAGCGTCCTTTACAACTCTGGGAAAAACACATCAGTCAGTTATCTACAGGAGTCTGACCCAGTTGGTCATTCAGGAAAAAGCATTCTGCATAAAAAGTAGTGGAAATGCTAGGAGAAAAGGACCGTGGCAGCCTGTGTGTGCTGTGGAAGCGGTGGACTCAAGGGGTGAGAGCAGAAGACAGCAGGTTTCTGAAGTTGCTGTGAGGGTGGCACTGCCTCTGCGCGCGAGCGCTGCAGCTGCTGCACAGGGCAGAGTGTGGTTGCCTCAGCTGGAGTTTGGAACAGACGCTCTCAAAGGAGAACTCAGCCAGACTGAATACATGCTTTCTTTCATCAACGCTGACTATCCTCAGATTAAGGCATCAACTATATTCCAAGTAAGAAAACAGGTTCAAGTTTTGCTTGGAAAAGGTCCTAACTGAAAAGCATAGGTCCTATTTTGTGAGAGACACCTGTTTCAGTCCTTTCTGCATCTTTACTTTTTGACCCCTTTGCCTTCTTCTAGGTTCCTTTGGAGAAGCAGAGAAAAGAGCATGGTCTCACCATGACGTCAAATATCCAACTGTTTAGATCAGGTGGAGGCTTCAGCTCTTGTACACAGAGGATTAGGAGCTATATAGATTTTTGTTTTAAAAGACCATTGCTTCAGAGCAGTGGTACTCAAAGGAAAGTTTTGCCGCCAGAAGCATCATGAGCCTGGGAATTTGTTATATATACGTATGTTTATTTTGTGCGTGTGTGTGTGTGTGTGTGTGTGTGTGTGTGTGTGTGTGTGTGGTGGGGATGGGACCCAGGGCCTTGTGCATGCTGGGTGAGTGCTGTGCTACTGAGCTGCATTGCATCCCCAGACACATTGATTCACGAGCTCCAGTCCAGACCTACCCAGTCAGAAACTCTGGGTGGAGCCAGTAGTGACTTTAACAAGAGCTCCAGGTGAGTCTGATGCTCTGCAAAGTTGAGAACCACCAAGTGACAAAGTCAGGCTTATTGCCCGGTATTACCTGGTCAGTGCTTTGCAATAGGTGTTTCCTCTGCATTCTTATGGGCACAGAACCAGATCAGATAGTTTCGTGTTTTTTTGGTACCAGGAATCGAACTCGGGACCTTGTGCTTGCCAGGCTGCTCTCACCCCTTGTACCGCTGAGCTATATTCCCGGCCCCAGAACTAGAATATACTGGAAAGAATTAGCCAAGGAAGGTGGTGAATCTCAGAGCTACAAATTCTGGCTTTCTTTTTATGGATTCAAGTTTCACCATAATATCTGTATCTTAGTGTGGTCCATATCACAGCTACCTAACTGGGAGGAGGTGACCACTGCCCCCTTTAAACATTTCCCCACTTCTCAGATTAAATACACTGCAGGCACTTCTTTCCCAAAAGAGTAAGTGCAGATGTGTGGCTCCCCTGCCCTGCGCCAGTGCTGCCTTACCTCTCTTGAACAGGCGGAGGAAGAAGAGGCCAGTGTACCCCCAAGTGCCATGACCCTGGCCACGGCCACTGACAGCGCGGACAAGGTCCCGGTGGTGAAGGCCAAAGCTACCCATGTCATCATGAGTTCTCTGATCACAAGTAAGCACCTTTCATTGTCAGAGTGGAGTGAAGCAGGGCGGAGAAGAGTTGAGTGTGTTTACAACCTAGCTGCAGGGGGTTTGCAAACATAGTAGTACCTGCGTCAGCACTGAAGCTCCATGTAGGTGGAGGATTTGCCCAACATTAAGCCGCTGAGTTGATGGAAGTGCATCCCTGCTGGATTATTGGTACAGTGTCACTTCCCATGTTGATCAGTGTGGTCTTGAGCAAGTTCCTCCACCGCAGGGACTGTTCCCCCTTTGTAGAATGGGGGATCTGGCAGGTGGATTGAGGGTGAGTTGAGTAGTTGACCCCTTGCTGAAGCTAGGAGGGGCTATTGCCGCCACCCAGGCTCTGCTGGAGAGAGCAACACACCGAAGCATCTCCCTCATCCCTGCATTTTTTTGTTCTCTGTCTGAACAGTTCAAAGTCGTCCACCAGAAAGAGGGCCAGGTTTGGTGCAAGTTTTTAGGTTTAATATGTTCCCACTGGTTTGAACCACCAGTGGTACATGCATGACTGTCCCATGGGGCAGCTTGTACCACCTGGTAGGGTGACATGCATGTACCACAAGTAGTTCAGAGCCACTCTGGCAGTGAGACATCAATTATGGCCCCATTGTGAATGGGTTAGGGGTGTGTGATTGCTGGGTATGGTGGCGCATGCTTGTAATCCCAGCATTTGAGAGGCTTAGGAGGATCTCTGTGAGTTCAAGGCTAGCCTGGGCTACATAGTGAGTTCAAGACTAACCTAAACTACATAGTGAGAACCTGTCTCAAAAACAAACAAAAAATTTGATTTGTGTTTGACAGAACAGAGCTTGGTTTTTTTTTTTTTTTTGGTCTTTTTGAGACAGGGTCTCGCTGTGCAGTTTAGGCTGGTCTGGAACTCGTAATGATCCTCCTGCCTCAGCCTCCTGAGTGCTGGGATTATAGGCGTGTGCCACTAGGCCTGACTTAGAGCTTGAGTTTTTTAAAAAAACTTTTATGACACTTTAACTGAACTTGTTCATTCTGGAGGACCGTTCTAATAGCTGTGGGAAGTTAACAGTTATTGGATACACAGCTCTGCTTGTCAGCAGCAATGTTCCTACTGGGGCTAAGGTACCTAACAGTTCTCCATGGTTGGCTCATTTTTTAAGTCAAAGCCCTTTTTCTCCAGGAAGGCCTCAGTTTGTCTTGGGCAGTTTTTGGAGAGTTCATCCAAGAACCAAAAGTCCAAAGTCTTACTTTGGTTTTTGCTTCTTCAAACATAAATGTACCATTTGAATCAGCAACTATTACTTGTACTTTTCAAGCTTTTTTTTTTTTTTGTCTTTTTGAGACAGGATCTCGCTATGCAGTTCAGGCTGGCCTTGAGCTCACTTTGTAGCCCAGGCTGGTCTGGAACTTGCAACGATCCTCCTGCCTCAGCCTCCTGAATGCTGGGATTACAGGTGTGAGCCACCACGCCTGGCTTGCAAGCTTCATTTTTTTTTTGGTACTGGAAATTGAACTCAGGAAAGTATAGTTTACCAACAGGCTAGATGATAACACTCCAGTACACCAATGCCATGCAGATACTTACTTGGCATACTCATTTCTGTGTTTTTGCATTTTTTTTATCTAATTGTAGTAGATACAATAGACATAGCATTCTGTTTTTTTTAAATAATGTCATGAGGTTTTCATTTTGTTAGTCATAATTTTTTTTTAAATAGCTGCTTTTAAGGTCCTGATGTTGGTGTATCATAATTCATTACAATTCTCTTTTTTAGATTTTCAGGTGACTGATAAAACTGGAAACTTTTGTCTTTCATTTTTGAGACAGAGTCTTTCTATGTAGTCCAAGCTGGGCTTGAAATTGTTATGTAGCCCAGGGTGGCCTGGAACTTGGAATCCTCCTTCCTCAGCTTTCTGAGTGTTTGGACTCTAGGCATATGTCACCCTGCCCAGCTGGAGAACATCTTTATGTGTGTGTGTGTGTGTGTGTGTGTGTGTGTATGTTTCATTCATTGCTTCTATTTTTGATGGAGATACTTCTTTAGCAGAGGAAGACATCTGGTGTTTGTTTTTGTTTGTTTGTTTGTTTGTTTGTTTTTGTTTTTTCTCCGGTACCGGGAACCAAACTCACGACCTTGTGCTTGCCAGGCAGGCGCTTTTGCCGCTGAGCTAAATCCCCAGCCCCGACATCTGGTGTTTAGACATCTGGTCCACAGCTGCCACATTCCTACATATAATTTGTGGACAGATTATATGTAATTTGTGGACAGTTTAGGCCAAAATTCAGCCATCATTCATTCCATAGTGCAATGGACTTAGGAAATAATTGGGTCCGACTGAATGTTGAGTCTTCTGGGCCAGGCATTATGACAGACCCTCTGACATGTAAGAAACTCGGGATCAGTTGAAGGCAGGTTTGTGGCTTGAATTTAGTTGATACCTTGGAACCTGCTGGCCTGAATGTGACTTGTTTCCCTTTGCAAAGATTTTTGGGTGGGTGATGAGGGTGGTTAGCAGCTCTTAAGACACTTTGTATTTGGAGAATTTCTTGCGTCTGGATGTCAGTTCCCTTCTCCATGCTGCATTTCTCAAAACAAAGATGTCATGGTGTGCAAGTAAGAGGAGGGTAAGCAGCTTCTTCAGCTGTCCGCCTAGGAACGGCCTGTTCTTTAGCCTGGTGTGAGGCAAGGCCCCCTCCTGGCCGGGGAGCCTTCGCGTGAGGTTCAGCCCTAGCACTTGGCTCCTATCTGCGGGAACCCTCCGCTCTCACCTGTTGTGCACTCTTGCTGGTTTCTGTGGGTGAGCAGGATGGGCATGACTGTTGTCTCCTCTGTTTCCAGAACAGACCCAGGAGAGCATTCACCGTTTCGAGCAGCAGGCAGGGCTGAGAGATGCTGGCTACACACCGCACAAGGGCCTCACCACCGAGGAGACCAAGTACCTTCGAGTGGCAGAAGCACTCCACGTAAGCGTGTTTCGTAGGAATTTTAAGAAGCCAAACCTTCTTTTCCATGGCTTGAGATGTGACTGGTGTGGAAGTCGCTGCCTCAGCGGGGTGGCAACTGTGGAATGGCAGAGAGACCTGGGCAAGGGGACGTAGACCTGGGTCATTCCTGTCTTTGCTGGCGCTCCTGGCTGGAGGCCGCAGGGCCTCAGCCCCATAGTTTTTGTTTACTTAACTATAGATGGAGGGCATCTGTGTTACTTAGTTCTGGCTGGAAGGGTGGAACGAGTGTCAGCTCACATGTGACACGCGTGGCTCCTCTGTGAACCGCGAAGGAGGTGTGGGTTAGTTTTTGTGCCATACTAACTGACTTTGAGTTTCAGCCTCAAGCTAGCACATCAGCTGCAAAGCAACGTCATGCTCTGCATTTAATTTTTTTTTCTGCGTTTACTTTTTAAGAAGTTAAAATTCATTGTAGAACTGGAATGGTTTTGCTTTCTCAACTTGGAATCAATAATTTTAGTAAAGGTTATGACAAATCATGAATAAAATAATTTCAGGGGGGCTGGAGATTTAGCTCAGTGGCACAGCACCTGCCGGGCAAGTACAAGGTCGTGAGTTCGATTCCTGGTACCGGAAACCCCCCGCCGAAAAAACTGGCTGTATACAGAACGGCATGTCATGATTTAGGAAGTACTGGAGTTTTCTTCATCACTAGTCTGTATTCTTTCTTCGTTTTGTAAATGAAGAAAATGAGGCCCGAGGTTGTATGTTCAGCCAGTCACACTCCCTGAACTCAGAAGGTCTTCTGATGCCACATTTCCTTTTCATTTTTTCTTCTTATTCCAAAGTAGTCTGAGGCTCTGTCTCCTGAGAGGCTTAGATTATTCTGGAAGGCGGGGGCAGAGCCAAGTTGTGAAAGGGCAAACATAGAGCTGAGGAAGTCCAAGCGCCTCCTGTGAGCAAGGGTGGGGTCAGAGTCCAGTCCTGCTGCGAGCTTTATCTGAGAAGTCCTCAGTGGGGCGTGAAGAGGGCCTGTGAGCACAGGGAGGAGCGCACAGCAGGCCGGAAAGGATCATGGTGTCCCGTGTACAGGGGAGGGGGACTAAAGTGGACCTGGTTGCCTGTGGTTAGGGCTGTGGGATATTGTGGACTAGTTGCAAAGTGTTGTGGGCACATGGATGCTTCTTTTACAAGCTGAGTTTAAAAGCCATGCTGTGGGGAAATCAGTGCTTGGCTGGTGGCCAGCTGAAGCGCTCAGACAAGATAGATGCCTCCAGAGAGGGGCCCTGTCAGTGCTCGCTACCTGGCTACCTTCTAGAACAGGTGTCGGAATTTCCTTTGCACAGTTCCTCCGTGTAGTGATAGGATTCACTTTGGTTGGCCCACCCGTGTTCTGCGTCCTGGCCACTGGGTAGAACATGAGGGAGGACTGAAATGATAGGTACTAGTCCAGTCTTGTGACAGACTGTCGACTTTCGCAAATTGACCTGCCGAGTGAGAATGTAGCTTGGGCTAAGCAGTGATGTACCACGTACGCCCATGGATTGGGACACTAGAACTCTGACCTAGACCTGAGAAGTAGCAACTGTGACCTAGAACTGAGGAAGCACAAGCCTAGACTCAGCCTATAGAGTCTGGGAATGGCACCTGGCACATGTGGGAGTTACCTAGGAGAGGAGAGTATGGGTCTTAAGAGGCCAGCAAGGCCTGAATCTTCAGATCTGGCTCCTGCTTACTGGCCAGGTGCTTGTGGGAAAAGTACTGCATTTTAAAAGCTCTAGCACTTTTAGCGTAGAGATTTTGAGATGTTACAGACTTGAGTATAATTCTTTAAAAGGATGGAATTTCACCAAATGTGGCACAAAGAGATATGTGTTACATAGTTCAAAACCAAAAAAACCCCCAAAACAAAAAACAAACAAAACCATTCTACCTCTGAATGTTGTTCCTTGTCCTGAAATTAGAATGTAAGGCTGTGTGTGGTGGTGCATGCATGTAATCCTAGCACTCTGGAGGCTGAGACAGGCGGAACGTTGCAAGTTCAAGACCATCCTGGGCTACAAAGTGAGGTCAAGGCCAGCCTGAACTGCATAGCGAGACCCTGTCTCAAAAAGACCAAAAAAAAAAAAAAGAATGTAAGGCCGATGTTTATGCTCAGACCGAGCTGTTCTGTGGCTTGCATGGGTTTGCTGATTTTGAAAGTCTTCTCACCCCTGTGAACAGAAATTAAAGCTGCAGAGTGGAGAGATGACAAAAGAAGAGAAGCAGCCTGCGTCAGGCCAGTCCAGCCCAAGCAGCAGCCCTCACTCTTCCCCGAAGCAGAAGTCCAGGTGAGAACTCCCCAAGACCCCTCCGAGCCTCGGTGCACTCATGCTCGGGCGCTGCATCATTTAAGCCGACCTTTCAGAGTGAGGCACAGTTCCCAGTTCCTGCGATTTGGTGTGACATTTCTAGAGTGCAAGAAGACACATTAGGTTATGTTTTATTCTGTCCTCCAGAGGCTGGTTCACTTCTGGTTCCTCCACAGCCTTAACTGGCTCAAATCCTAGCACCATGGATCCTGGAAGTGGGGACAAGGACAGAACCTCCTTAGAGAAATGGAATGTGTTCGGACCAAGACCCCTCCAGAAGTCTGATTCTGGTAAGGCGGTGTGGCTGACGTTTACCATATTGTACATGGGCGCCCCCTAGTGGTCTGTACTTATTTGTTCTCTGATTTACTTGCATAGGAGGTTTTGCTGTCCAGGCCTACAAAGGAGCCCAGAAGCCCTCCCCCATGGAGCTGATCCGGGCCCAGGCCGCCCGAATGGCTGAAGATCCAGCAGCCTTCAAGCCACCCAAGATGGATATCCCCATGACAGAAACGAGGAAACCACCACCGCGGACCCATAATCTCAAACCGCGTGACTTGAATGTGCTCACACCCACTGGGTTCTAGGGTGTTTTCTGTCCCAGGAACTCTGGGTAGAGGGTTTCTTGTGTCCCACTTCCCTTGGCTCTGACATAGGATTTTTTTTTTTTTTTAAGGAATGGTGTATTTTCAAACCTCTTAAACAGAGGCTACTGCTGGAGACACAATTAATTTTTGAGAAACAGTGCAAAGCCTGTACTTGTGTGGAAGCACTGCTTTAGACTAAAAAAATCTGAGCAGTGATTTGGGGGGACCTCGTTACCTATTTTGTATTGTTTATCCTAGACAACTTCGATCATTGCTTACTAGGTAAATAATGTTTATGCTGTTCCAAAACTGAGACTCCTTGATTGTTTCATCACAATGAACACAAACAGTGACAAATTATGGTGTAGAGGTGCCTACTAGCTTATTTGGGCAACTGTGGCCCTTTTGATGGTGCTGGTACTGTGCTCCAGCATCATGTAGTACCTAAGATCCATCTGAGATCTGCGTACGGTCCACAGCCAGGCCGGGGAGGGATCTCACTTGGAGTCACCTTGCTTTTTAGTCATCCTGACGGACCATTCTGTGCTGTGGCCGTTCCTTCGTACCTCTTGGTACCCCCTGGGCCACTGCCCCAGGAGAGATACTTCCTTTTATCATACAACAAAATGCTGCGTATCCTTTCTTGCTCTTCAAAATGAGGTTTGTCTAAATCCAATTTGATTGAAAACTAAAGGTCAAAATTCAGTCTTCTGATTTCATACTGATACATACAAGGAGTGAGCCTAGGGCCTCACACATGCTAGGCAGGCACCGTACCACTGAGCTACACCTCCAACTCCTGAGTTTTACATTTTTTTTAGCGTAAAGATGGTTAGTACAGTTACAGACTTCAGGTTCACGTAAAATTAGTGTCCTCTTGTTTTGATTTTTGTCCAGATCAGGGCCTGAAATTTTGTGGGGTGGCAGTGGTGGAAGAATTCAAAATTTTTCTGCCAGTGGAAGTTCTCACTAAAATGAGGCTCCTACCTTTATGTGATGCGTATCTCACTGAGAAAAGGAAAGAGAAACTGCCATTTTAATTCTTTTCAGTGTGTACATGTTCAGTGTCATGAAGACTGTCAAATATTTGCTGTTTTTTGTTTTAGGTAGCATTTTGTTTACAAGGAACTGACCTATAGAGAAGCCCTGCCGCCCAAAATTATTACAATTAATTTATTTGTGTCATCTTTTTGTTTTGACAATAAGAATCCTTAGTACTTTCTCAAATGTATCTGTCTTTTTTGGTTGTTTGTTCTGAGACAATATTTCACCATGTAGTTTCAGGCTGGCCTTAAACTCACTATGTAGCCCAGGCTGGTCTCAGACTCATGGCAATCCTCCTGCCTCAGCCTCCTGATTGCTGGGGTTATAGGCGTGTGCCACTGCACCTGGCTCTTTTGTCCTGTCTTGAATAGACACTCTGCTTGTCCCCAGCCATGGAACCTAAGCATGGTAAAGCTGATATTTTGAAAAACTGTTGGCTTTTTATTATATCATTTTAACATCAAATGTTTTATAATACATGCTATCCTTTTGTTTCCAGGTACTACCCATCCCCCTCTGTTACATTAGGTATGAATAGACTGGCCACAAACTTGTACTTCTAGGTAATATAAAATGGTCTACAATAGGATGTCTGTGTTCTGTTAGGGAAAACACTGTCTCTCCAGAAAGGCTGGTAGTGCCTTGAATGACAACAGTGATGTAGTCTGTCCAGCAGAGGAGTCTCTCATGTCTCAAAAGGAAATTTTAAAATATATAGTGCGTTTACTATCACCTGTTTCAAAAAATGTATATATAAATAATTTATTAAAAATATATACACCTTGTATATTTAAGCCATATTTGGAACAGGCCAGGATAGGATTATTAAAGAGCTATATACTGAAGACTTAGTTATTATGACCTACAGATAAATAAGTTTGGTCCTGCGAGGATTTCACTACTGTCCATACTCTGAGAGCGTCCAGGAAGGTAGAAACAGTTCATGGAGGTATTCTCAGTGCTCAGTGCTGAGGAGACCCTCGTGGGCTGTTCTAGTGCCTTGAGGCTGGCTCTGCGTCAGAGTTCAAGTCTGCAGCATAGAAGAGCAGGAGCTTCAACAAGTGCACTTTATTTTGGAGCTGGGGGACCAAAGGCTCCCCAAGCATCTGGACCAGACGGTTGCGGAAGGCCTCGATGTGCTTCTCCACGTCCGTCACTGTGATGTCATCTCCTTGCTGGGGCTTGGGCTTAATCCTTTTGATGATTAAATCCTTTCGATCAATCACTGAACTGCGTAGGTGCTCTGCAAGAGGGAAGGAGTCAGGTAAACTGAAATGCTTTTTATGATTTACAAAGGCAAAATCCAACTTAGTGGATAAGGGCCTGCTGCCTTACTAGTGGAAGGCAAGTCACAGGCATGAGTTCCGTGGTAGCCCCGTTTCCAAAAAGGGCTTGTTCTTGCTTTACTCGGACATTCAAGAAGTTTTATACGGTAAAAAAATTGTATTCTTACAGCTTCTTTTCCCTTTTGATTTAAACAAAATAATGGAACTTTCAAATTAATACGCTACTTGAAAAAATTCAGGTGAGTTTTGAGTAACTTTAGGTAGATTTCTAAGTATGGAAAGAAATATTGAACTAAATTTGTGGGTATTTTATTGTATTGTGAACCTGTTTCCACCCACTTCATCCCTTGGTACTGGGGATTGAATCTAGGGCCTTCGCACGAAACTACACTCTCAGCCCTTTTTATTTTTTATTCTGAGACAGGATCTCACTAAGTCACTTAAATTGCCCAGGCTGGGTTTGAACTTGTGATCCTCCTGCCTCAGCTTCCCAGAGAGCTGGGATTACAGGTATATGCCACCATGCCTGGCTCTGAAACTGTATTGTATGTATGTATGATAGATCAAATAAATAAATACAACTCATGTTGGGAGTAAGGGTTCTCATGAGAGAAGGGAGACTGAGGTAGGAAGAGAAGAGTCCTGTGGTACTGAGTAGAGACTGACGTGTTCCTATGAACATGTACTACATAAAAAAGTAAAATGATATAATTTAGTAGCTGTGTTGTCAGAAAGGGGCTAGAAGCAGAGACTTTGCAGTGGTAATCAGCACTTTCCAAGCACTAACCCAGATCTTGGTTTCTGTACACATTCCTCAACTCTCCACTGAAATAAGTCAGATTCTTTTGGGAGAAAAGGCTATAGGACCAAGGCAAGGTAACTACAGGGTGAACCGGGAACACCTTTTGTGAGAAAGGGAACATTTAAAACTGATCCCAGCATGCTGGGAGGTTAGGAAGGAAGACTGCAAGTTTGAGTCAAGCCCAAGCAATTTAGTGACTTTTTGAGACTCTCTCAAAAAATAAAAACGGCTGGGAAGCAGCTCAGTGTGAAGGGCCGGGGTTCAATCCCCAGTACTGCAGAAATAAACACCAAAGCCCCCAAACTGATGAGGACCTGTTAAAAGTACACAGGAGCCAGCCCTCCTGTTGGACAATGTGATCAGAAAAAAATGACAAAAATGAGTTATTTCAACATACTGGATTTTTCTTAAAAGTCCTGAACACACAGTTAAAAAAAATTTACAGGTATGTAGGGGTCTTTTTTTTTTTTTTCACCAGAAGACCAGTTCACTGCAGAATGAAGGCGTAACTGGAACAATGCCACTTTTCACCGTACTATTTGATTCACGTAAAAACCCAAACGATGCTAAAGCCACTGAGTGAAAGGCTGAAGGGGACAGTCACAATCTAAGAAATTTTCCAGGCCAGCGTGGCTGAGCAGATGGCTGTGTGCTAGAGGAGAAAGAGCTGGAGTTCTACCTGAGGAAAGTCAAGGCCGGGAAGTGCAAATAAACCTTCCCTCCTGGCTTAGCTCATGTAATAAAGGTGTATTCAATGTTCAAAAATAACAAAGCTTCACCTGCTGAATTACTAGTAAAGGGAAAGCAATGGAGAAGTCTTATAGACCCTACCTCACCCCAAATGACAATGCATTTTTTTTGTTGTTTTTGGTAGTGGGTTTCACTAAGTCTAAGTTGCCTAGTCTGGGTTTGGACTTGCAGTCCTCCTGCCTCAGCCTCCCAGAGTGGTGGAATTACAGGAAGGGTACACTGTCATCTATTTGGTAATTTTGTCAATAAATTTTAACATGAATTTTGGTCATGAGGAAACAAATGTACAATTCGAATTACGGGACATTCTACAAAATTATTGGTTGGGACTCAAAAAATGTCTGTTAGGAAGGATAAGTAAAATGCCAGACAGGGATGGTACACACCTATAATCCCAGCTCTCAGGCTGAGGTGGGAAGATTGCTGCAAGTTCAAGGCCAGCAGGGGCCTGGGCCAGCCTGTCTCCAAAAAAAAGCCAGTATGACTCTTAAGTACAATGCTTGATACTTGGTTAGAACCTGGCTCAAAACAAAACCAATCACCTATATAGGGTAATACTGGGACGTTAGACAATATTCGATCAAGAGTCATTTTCTAATGATGAACAGTAAATGATTTGTAGGAAAATATCCCTATCCTTTTGTTCGTTTGTTTTTGAGACAGGGTCTCGCTATGCAGTTCAGGCTAGTGTTGAGCTCACTTTGTAGCGTAGGCTGGCTTCGAACTCCCAAGGATCCTCCTGCCTCAGCCTCCCGAGTGCTGGGATTACAGGCGTGCGCTACCACACCCAGCTAATAGCCCTATCTTTAAGAAACTCAAGTTGAAGTCTTTAAGCAGAAATATGATGTACCAACTTAGTCTAAAGGTCACCCTCTCTCAGGTCACCCCAACCAGAAGAAGGGTGGAGCTGGGATTTAAAACAAGACTTTTTGTCTGATCAGTACTTACTTATTTTAATTTTTTTTTTTGGGGGGGAGGGTCTTTTTTGAGACAGGGTCTTGCTATGCAGTTCAGGCTGGACTTGAACTCACTTTGTAGCCCAGGCTGGCCTCAAACTCACAGCGATCCACCTGCCTCAGCCTCCCAAGTGCTGGGATTACAGGCATGAGCCACCACGGATGGCCAATCCAGTCCTTTTTAAAAAAAATACATCTCCACAAAACAGCTTTCTTAGTTTCAAGCCCCAGGGGATGTAAGTGTTCTCTTACCTTCCTATGGCATTACTGAGTTAAAATCAACTGTATACAATCATGAACAAGTACACTTACATTTATACATTTTTCTTAGTATTTGAGAATAATCTGGAGAGGCTATAAAATTTCAGAATAGACTTCCTAAGACTCAGGAGATTTTACTATCATAATCCAGTGTAATTATCGAAAATAAGAAACTCAATATATTATTATTGTCTAATGTATGTAAATTTTGCCAACTGTCCCACCAATGCAGCTTGTGTGTGTGTGAGAGATACTGGGGATTGAGCCCAGGGCCTGTTGCTGCAAATGCTTTACGACTGTGCTGCCGCGCCAGCTCTCCACTAACGGGCTACATTGCTTCTTTTTCCTAGTTAAGGGTCCCGCCTAGGATCACGGATTGCATTTACTATTCATATGGTTTAGTTTCTTTTTAATCTGGAACAGTATCTCAGTGTTTGTTAAGATCTTGATACTTTTGAAAAAATAAAGAACTTTCTGGTCAGTTATTTTGTAAAAGGCCACTCAATCTGAGTCTGTCCAAAGCTTCCTCTGCTTATATCCAGGTCACGCATTTTTGGCAAGAACACTATGTGATGGTGTGTCCCTCGCGGTCCCATACATCCAAGGGAGATGTCAGTTTTCTCCTGTGTTAAGGTACTGTTTTTCCCTCTGTAATTAGTATTTCACCAGTTCCTCAGTTTTCCCAAGGCCCTCAATAATGCTTGCTTGGCTGCTAAAATCATTCTCATTTAAATAAGTTATACATGATTATTCTTGTCAGCATTTGCCTGAGGCTACTTAACTCTCCCAGAGCTGTTCTGGTCACTGGCTTCATCTGACTCGAGGATCTCTGAAGAGCTACTTCCATAGCCTTTGGGGTCTCTCACATATTGTGCAAGATGTACAAGACGTACAGCTCCACTGACTTGCTCTGCATTGTGTCTGCCTTGTACTAACAGATGTTTACAGTCCCCTCAACAAAGACGGTGCAGTGAGAAGCCAGGGTCAAATGGCAGCGTCAATCAGGTCATTACCTCACATCATGATGACTTTTATTTATTTTTTATTTTTAAATTTTTTTCCAACAGTGTCTTGCTATGTATTCCAGGCTTGCCCTGAATTCACCGTGTAGCCCAGGCTGGCCTCACAGAGCAATGCTTCTGTCTCAACCTCGAGTGCCAGGGTCACGTGTGTACCACCATGCCTGGCATGATAACTTTTGTTTATCTCTACAACCTGGTAACTAGGAAGACCACTGTGTTCTCAGACATAAGAAAGATGCATGGTATTTCTTTTTTCATAGCAGTATTTCTAGCTATGCCGTTCCTTGTTCTTCACAGTACAACCAAGGAACACCGCTTTGCTGAAGTGAAGGAGTTAGAACCTCCAAGTAACTATTACTCACAATAATGTCCATGGGAGGCCTCTGACATCATCGATTTGTGAACAAGTGCATCTTACCTCTTAAAACGTGCTGGTAACTGGACAGCAGGAACTGCAGATGCTCAATGAGCTCATCCCAGGTCTGCCACTGGGTTTTATCGGACTGCAGAGATAACAACAGTAACTGATAGTAACTTCCTCAGTTAAATTTTCCATACAATTTTCAAGTCCTTTTCACCTAATGCTCAAGCAGTTGAGTTTTAAGCTAGTAATCTCACAGGCAGGATTGGGGAAAAAGTGTTCTTAGGTTTAGAATTGAACAGGAAATGGGGCCGGGGATTTAGCTCAGTGGTGCAGCGCCTGCCTGGCAAGTGTGAGGTCCTGAGATTGACTCCCAATACAAAAAAAAAAAAAAAAAGGAATTGAACCAGAAGCAATGTACCTGGCACTTGAGCAGCGATGTGGAATTATTTAGAAAATAGAGAGCCTGGGCCAGAGACAAGGGCAGGCGGGTGGGCGTCTCGCAGCTGTGGAGGAATATGATTTCTAACACTTTGCAGCGCAGCAGGTGGCTTTCCATGGTGGTAAAGAACATCTCTCTGTGGGAAGAGGGAGTTAACGATCACAGTCACATTTCAAAGAACACATTACCACAATTCACCATGAACTGTCTAACCTTTGTGTGTAGTTTGAGGTTTCACAAGGGGGAGCAATTTAATACTGGACACATAGTTTATAGAATTATAATAGTCACCCAAAAAGTCACATACAAAAGAGTGCAAGAAATCTGTCCATACACTAAAGACCAAAGAATACAGCTGAGGGCCTGGATCCCACAGCAATGTCCTGCATGAGTCTAGTTGAAGACCTAGAGCCCATAACAGTGCCCCCCACAAGTCCAGCTGGAGGCCAAGGGCCCACAACAATGTGGGCTCATGCAGGCCTGTTTCATGGATCTATGCTGGGAAGGCTCAAAGGTCAGTGGTGGAACCTAGAACATCAGCGGGATGAAGGATCTGTGCCAGCAGGCTGAGGGATCTGCACTGGAGCCAGGAAGTGACACTCAAAGTAAGAACCAGAGCTCCCCCGAAAAGTACCACAGCCACCTCAGCAACAGTGAGGTCCCGAGCTCCTCCGACGAGAACAGGTGAGTTCCATCAGGAAAGCCAACATGACAAGGTCCTCCAGCAGAATAGCCTAAGAGAACCAGCAGCTCCCTAACACCTCCTAACAGCTTCCAAACAGCTTCCTACAGCTCCCTACAGCCTCTCCAGTTCTGCCTCTTATGCTGCCAGCAACGATCCTCAGGTGGGCCTCCCACTCCCAGCACCATGCTGGTTCAGTTCAGCTGGGTGTTACAAGTTGACCACCAGTTGTCAATCCACCACAGTTTGTCCCAACAAAAGATAGCTAACAGTCATACAGTAGAGGCCTACAGAATCACAATGCCTTTGGACAGGACAGAAATGGATCTCTTTATGAATTAACAATTACTGGAGTGAGGGAAAAGTCTTTGACATTTGAAAATGACAAGTTTAGGACAAAATAAAAAGAATTACATTGTACTATGAGGATTAATCATGAGAATACATATTTCTGAATGCTTGTAAATTACCAGCTAGTAGGATAAATACATGACAGCACCACTCTCAAAAAGGTGCTAGCTGAACAGTGGCAAGAGGTACACAATGGGAACTTACAGTGCATAGGCCACGTGTGCATATATGTGAAGTGCTAGTGCCCCAACAATATGCAGAAGAGAAGACATATCTGGCCAAGGACTGGAGGAGAGGCACTGATGGCATGGTCTAGGACAGTGGTGGCGAACCTTTGGCACCCGTGCTGCAGTGGGCTGTCTGTACCATTGAAAGCTCTAAAAGGCTCGCCATCACTGGTCTAGGAGGAGCCAAAGAAGTTCAAGGCAGAAGGCATTTCAATGAAGGGAAAACATAGGCAACACCAGAGAAGTAAAAAAAAAAAAAAACAAACCAAAAACAAAACCCATACAACAGTGGTACTGCAGCTTCTTAAATTTCAGAGTCTGAGACTCTATAGTCCCAGACAGACTCTTGCCCTTGACTTTGCTACTCAGTGCAAGGTTTCACGGCAGTGGCAGGCTGAAGCACTTTTGTGACAGAACTGGAGCCCAGCTTCAGGATAAGGAGTCACTCTCATTGTTCTAAAAGCAGTGAGCTGCTGGGCGTGGTGGCACATGCCTGTAATCCCTGCACTCAGGAGGCTGAGGCAGGAGGATCGTTGTGAGCTTGACACCAGCCTGGGCTACAAAGTGAGCTCAAGGCCAGCCTGAACTGCATGGAGTGACCCTGTCTCAAAAAAGACAAAAAAAAAAAAAAAAAAAAAAAGAAAAAAAGCAGTGAGCTTTCTAGAAAAGGCTGTATATCTCAGGTACACAGGGTGCACCTTTGGACAGCTGAGGGTTTCCAGTCTGTCCGGTTATCCTTGCCAGTTCTGTGACCCAAGCACTTCTGGCAGGCAGACAGCTTGGCAAGAGATGAGGAGATGGCAACCAGAAGGGACAGCATGTCTTGCTTAGTCAACAAGCAAAAGGGCCAGATCCAGCTCCAAATACTTTTCTCCTACATATCCTGCCACTGCAGTTTTGCAATATTCGGAAAATGAGGGAATTCTCTGTGCTACTGCATTTACAAAAATGATAAGCAGGGGGTGCGTTGTAGACATCTAGTCCCAGACTCTCTCACCCCAGCCCCCACTCCTATACTGGGGAGGAACCCTGGGCAGTGCACATTCTAGAGAAGTGCAAGCACTCTTCCCAGCCTTAGATTGTGTCTAAAAAAAGTTTTCGGGGCCAGGGATATAGCTCAGTGGCATAAGTGTCTGCCCGGCAAGCTCAAGGTCCTGAGTTTGATTCCTGGTATCCCCCACCAAAAAAAAATTTTAAAAAAAGTATTCAGTTTTGTTTTCTTTTTCCACCTTACCTTTGTTTTGCCCTGACATACATATTGTATAAAACACAGTTTTCTAAAAACCAGAATGAATATTTTTAAACCTTTGCTTCTTCTGCTTCTTCTTTGTCTTTTTGTACAAGAGATTGAACCCAAGGTCTATCTCCCTGCTTCATATCATCTACCTTTCATTTTGCTCTTTAACTTAGTCATACTTTGGCTTTCTCATATAAGAGAAACCATGCAATATTTAAGATTCGGTGTCTCATTTATTCACTAAGATTATGGTCTCACAGTGCCTCCATTTTTCTACAGAAGACTCAAATTTATCCTTCTTTATGGCTGAGTGGTCTTAGCCTCAAGACCCTTGCCCTTTATAAGGGCTGCTTCAAAACCATACTTAAAAGTCCTAGAATCAAATCTTGATAAGAAAATTCTAATCTGCCAGCAAATTAATTGCTAATCAGAATAGACAGCAATAGTTTTTAAAAGTAAAACAGCAAAATTTGGACTTCACAATACAATGCCCAGAATGTCCAGTGCATAGTAAAAATTACTAGACAAGGGAGAAAGCAGGGAAACATAATCTATAACTAGGAGGAAATGGTCCAAAGAAAGACCAAAAAGTGACACATATGCTGGAATTAGTAGATAAGGACTTTAGAGTATCTACTATAAATATGCTCAAGATTTTAAAAAGCAAGCAAATGAACTGAGATGTATATAATCAATGACCACAGGAAGACTTTCATCAAAGAGAAATAAAACTATAAAAATGCATCAAATAGCAACTCTAGATCTGAACATAACATATCAGAAATGAAATTTAAAAATCATTCAATTGGCTTAACAGCAGATTGACAGTACAAAAGAAAAAAGATCAGGGATCTTGAAGATTATCTGAACAAATAGAAAAAAAATGACAAAACAAATTCAAACAGAAAACAAAGAGGTTTAATAATTTGTGGAACAGTGTTTAGCGGTCTAATATACATACACCGTAATTCCCAGGAGAAGAAGGGAGAGATGGTGGTGAGGACAAAATGCTTAAAGTTTGATGGAAAATATCAACCCATGGACTCATAAAGCTAAATAAACTCTAAGCATGATAAGCATAAAGAAAACCACAGTTAGGTATTATAGGCAAATTGGTGAAAATAAAAATAAAGCAACCAAAGAGAAAATGACATTATATAAGGACAAAACAATAAGAAATTCTAGCCATTCTTTTGTCTTTCTGAGGCTAGTGACAGAACCCAGGGCTTCATGTTGAAGTATGAGCTCTACCACCTACATATACCATCAGCCCAGAAATTCCTAATGACTTTTCATCAGGGACAATGCACAGAAGAGAATGGAATGTCTTTAGTATAAGAAGAGAAAAAAGCCTCTGTCAGCTCATAATCTCATTATGTCCAAACAGCCTTATAAATGAAGATGAAATTAAAAAATCAAGACAGAAACAGCCAGGTGTGGTGGTGCACGTCTGTAATCCCAGCTGAGGCAGGAGGATCACTGCGAGTTCGAGACCAGCCGGGGCTACAAAGTGAGCTCAAGGCCAGCCTGAACTGCATAGCAAGGCCCTGACTCAAAAAGACCAAAAAGACCAAAAAAAAGAAAGACAGAAACAGAGAGAACTCATTCTTGCCCTACAAAAAAAATAAATAAATAAAATAAAAACAAACAAAAAAACCTTAAAAATAAGTTCTTTGAGTGGAAGATAAATAATACCAAGTAGAATCTGGGTCTTTAAGAAAGGTAGAAAAACATCAAAAATGGTAAATATAAAAATGATTCTCCCTCCATCTCTTAATTTACTTGAAAACAGTAAACGTTTAAAGCAGAAAACAGTAGACTTCATTCTGGAGCTGATATGTGAAAGTAAAATATATGACAACAATTACACAAAGGATGGAAATGGGGAATAAAAATATAAAATTGTAAGATTCTTATATGTTAAACAACATTAACCTAAGGCAGACTATAGTAAGTTAATGACATATATCATAATTCCAAGAGCAACCATGTATTTTTTTCCAGAAAGAAGCATTGGTAAAATTCAATATCTACTTGTGATAAAAACTGTTAGAATAGAATGGAATAGAAGGGAACTTCAACTTCTACAATTGCATGGTACTCTATCCTGCCTGGCAAGTGCAAGGTCATGAGTTCGACTCCTGGTACCAGAAAAAAAACAAAACAAAAACTAAAACAAAAAAAAAAGAAATAGAATCTCAGTGTAGTTTTAATTTACCTTTCCTTAAATATGAGTGAAGTTGGATATTATAGGAAAATATAATTACAAAACATTGTTCTTATAAAGGAAGAGCCAAAAATCTTTACCAAAATACTAGCAACTTGAATCCATGAATATATAAAAAGGTAACATGCAGCCAAGTAAGATTTTTATTCTTACCTATTTTTATTCTTTTATTTTTATTCTTACTTTTTATTCAAGCTGATTAAAATTTAAGAAATTACAGGAATCAATGTAACTACTCACACCAACAGAATGAAGAAAAATTACGCTAATTTCGACAGAGGCAGAATGTATACTTGATAAATCTCAGTATTTATTTTTCAGAAAAAAACTCACTAAACTGGAAATAGAAGGAATTTTCCTCAATCTGATAAAGAGAACCTATGCAACATCTACAGATAAGTTCACATTTAGTGGTCAAAGACCACATGTTCTCCGACTAAGATCAGGAGCAAGGCAGTGCTATCTGGTCTAAGGCAAGAAAAAGAAGGAAAGGGATACATATTCAAAAGGAAGACATTAAACTGTCTTTGTTTGCAGATAACATGACTGTAACATGTAGAAAATCCTAAAAAAATCTTATCTAGGTTGCAATTTTTCTTTTTTTTGGTTTTGGTTTTTTTCTCCGGTACCAGGAACCGAACTCACGACTTTGCGCTTGCCAGGCAGGTGCTTTGCCGCTGAGCTAAATCCCCAGCCCAGGTTGCAATTTTTCAATATGTTATCAATAAGCCACTGGAAAATGACAAGCTATGCAGATGAATGGATTTGCCAAGACTCACTGAATGATAATTTTGTAAATTAGTTTGCATAACTGTATATAAATTCCTATGTTTAAAACTAAGATAAAGACCATATATAGTATCTTCTAGTATAATTGGAGTGGGCAGCCAATTTGTCCTTTCTGAGAGAATGTTAAAGTAGAGTCAGCTTTTATTTAAATTATTTTTGTCTATTTTAAGTCTGAATTTGCAGGATAAGTTACTAGCCAAATAGATATGAAAGTAAAATTTAGTCTCCATTTAAAGTATCTAACCTTTCCCCAAGAAATTATATCTTATTTGCAAATAATAGTAATCATTATTTTTGTCTTTTTGAGACAGGGTCTTGCTATGCAGTTCCAGCTGGCCTTGAGCTCATTTGCAGCCCAGGCTGGTCTCGAACTCACAACAATCCTCCTGCCTCAGCTTCTTGAGTGCAGGCATTACAGGCATGCGCCACCATGCCTGGCCTGACGAACAACAGCAGTTAGCTGGGAACCTCCTTTCACAGAGTCAGAGACACATGAATGATCCATTTGTTTCTTTTCAAAGTTTGGGCTTTTCTCTTTTGAAATTCTGCTTTTAGCAGGCAGTACAGGTAAAAAAGATAATTTATAAAAATAACTTACTCCAAGTTGTTTTTTTTTTAATGAGAACACAACAAAACTAGACTCACCTCTGACTCCTCTGAGGTATGTCCAGTACAAACCCAAACATCATCTCAGCAATTTTATTGGAGCTGCAGGTAGGAGTCCTGTCCACCTCCACAGCTATGGACAGCATCCTCTGAAGCTGGCACACAATCCTGAGTCCAGAACACAGGACACAAGTGAGTAGGGGGTCAAGAACAAGGTACCTAGTGACTGGGAGGAGGTCCCTGCAAGTGTACACTAAGAATGCAGACTACTAAAGGGTTTTGTAAAGCACACACTAGATCAGGGAAAACTACTCCAGACATGAGCATGCTTCTACTCAGCAATTTCATCTACCTGAATCCCTTTTGCCAGATCATACTATCTGAGCCTCTTAGAACCTGGCGGTAAGCTGCAAAAGCAAGCTGCTTTTAAATTCAAAAATAGAACCACAGCATCGAAAGGGTCCAGAGAATGTCAAAGACCATCTAACCTATACTTTCCCTGTTTTGTAAACGAAGAATATCAGGTCCGAAGCGAATACAAATTTACTTAATACAGGAATAATTATGTATCTGCTATATAATTTTCCCCTTCAGCTGGGTCCCTGACAGTGTTTCTGACCACGCTCAGTCTCAGAGCTTCCACTGTCGGGACCCGACCCCTCCCACTGGACTTGACTGTGGATAGAACCGGCCTGACACAGCTTTGGGAGTCTGGGCAACACCTCAAAAAGGTAAGCCTGGCCTGACGTCGGCCTTTTAAAACATGTATTACTTGTGATAGGAGAAAGGTTTTATTTTCAGAAAGCCTGCAGCTAGTGACACAATAGGTGGGCAAATGACTCTGGCATCAAATTCTGGCTCTTCAGTGATAAGCTGTTCAATCTTCAACAAATTGCTAAGTTGCTCTGTGTCTAGGTCCACTCACCTGTGAAAAGGGGGAACGCCATCATCTATTTCATAAAATTGTGAGTGACATGAAAATATCTGGCAGATAGGTACTCAGTGATGGTAAATATCAGCATGTAATTATTGCCAGTGAGATCATGACACAATTAACTTTTAGCCGCCCTGGTGCTATTTCTATTAACATTTACTTAAGGTTGCCTTTCACTGAAGAAACCTTGTTGGTTTTTCTCTGGGGTCTGTAAATGGACCTCCAGAGTAACTCAACTTTACGATCTCCCCAGATAAATATGCCCAACTAACTCTTCCCCAGTATGCCCAGGGTTTCACTGTTCTGACACAGTCACCCTTGAGATAAGACTGTCTCCTAAATTACCTGAAAACTAAGTCTAATGTCAAAATCAGGTTGATCCAATTACATTATGTAGTTGCCATAAGCGAATTTAGGTGCAAATGCTATATTTTAAATGTTTTTCTTTTTTCTTTTTTTGTCTTTTTGAGACAGGGTCTGGCTACGTAGTTCAGGCTGGCCTTGAGCTCACTTTGCAGCCCAGGCTGGTCTCAAACTCTCAACGATCTTCCTGCCTCAGCCTCCCTAGTGCTGGGATTACAGGCATGCGCCACCATGCCTGGCTATATTTTAAATGTTAGGAATGACTGGCTTTTACCAGGATGATAGATATGAAATTCTAGGTTATTTGTGTTAGGAAAGCCCTTGCCTCTAAAATCCTGGGGTTCCTAAAAAACAAAAAACAAACAAACAAAAAAAAACAAAACCAGGACCACTCTAAACTCCAAAACACAAATGCTGTGAATGTCTTTACAGTGTAGTCTGAGGCAACAGAATCTGCCTTGGGCTGAGCCAGTGCTGTTGCACCTGTTGGAACCTGCAGGTTGAGCTGTTTTTTTCTCTTAGGAATAAAGGATTGAAACACAGGTTCCTAAGCATGAGAGGCTGCTGGAACGCCACTTCCTACCACTTCTCCAAGTCAGTGGTGATCTGAAGTAGTGAGGTGAAAGCATCTGCTTTTGTTCTACCTTAAGAGTTAGAAATTTAGTCTTTAGTTAAGTCTTTAATAAGGATCGCTCTAAATTACAAGAGCTTGTTAATGATGGGGAAGCTGCTCCTTTGGGACCAGTGTTATTCTCTAACACTAAGTCCCCAAAATCCAGGAAAAGATCACTGTGCCTGCTCCTTACAGCTGATTGGTGTTCTTGGTCAGGTTAGGCTGGGGAGAGGGTTGACCACTGCTGGTTTTCAACACTCCTCTTCCTGAAGAGGTTTGGTTCCCATTTGGGTACTGAATTAATTCATCTCCAGTTACTGCTTTGACCAGCCACTTGATAACATCTCTGCAATGGAAAAAAAGATAAGAGAGAAAAGGTTTTAACTTCTGTTATATTTATGATGCTCAGGATCGCAGCCTTCAGCTTGGATACCAGACCCTGAGATTTCTCCAACAGCAACAGAGGTGGTTTTAGGCTATTTTCAGTATTAAAACAAGTCTTATGAAAATCCCATATTTAACTATAGCATGGCTATAAAAGCTAACTACAATATCAACATTTCCCTTTGAGTTATAATTTCTGAAAGGCATATCTGGGGTTAAAGAACACTATCTGCAGCTTCCTGGCCAGGAACATTTCCAAACTAGGTAGAAAGCTGGACTGGATGACCATATAAATTCTTGTCAATTTCTACTATCAAGTGTCATCTACTAATGCTAATAACTGAGGTTTAATGAAAGTGCAATGGAGTTGTACCTCATACAGGGCTTAGGCTCAACAAGGCAGTAACACCCCGCATAGTCAAAATTACTTTTGATGAACATTTAGGAAACCAAGATAAAAAAGGTGCACCCAATTCACACATTTAATTTGTTTCCTCCTAAAACTCTACTGATATTATAGCAAATGATTTTTTTAAGTATCCATAAGGAAGATGGACGACAACAATAGTGAAATTTTGGAAGATAGAAAACAAATGAAAGATATTTACTACTATTTAATATTGCAGGGCCGGACTGGATGCAAAGGAGACCACTGGAGATCGGTCTGCCCTCTGAGGTGGAGGCCCCAGAGCTCAGACCCATGCTACCAGTTAGTCCAACAGGAATGAGAGGGCTTGGGGCATGGTTTGCCTTCTCCCTCTGGCCAGACCGTCATCTCCGTCGAGGAGTCCTGGGTAATCATGACTATGGAGGAACAAGAAAACAGCCTGTTGCTAGACACAGGTGCAAGTCTCTC